CTCTCTGTCTCTCAAATAAATAAAATAAAATAAAATAAAATAAAAAAAAAAGAAATTACATTTCTGGTTATATAGGTCTTGCGTTATCTAGGTCTTATCCATCCAGCAGAAAAGTATAAACACGAGGTATAAACAGTAAAGCCAGAGCTGTAAAAGACTCAAGTCAAGGGGCTGGTGAAATAGCTCAGTGGTTTAAAGCACCTGCTTAGAACAAGCTTAGCAAACACAGGGACCGAGGTTCAATCCCCTAGCACCACATGCCAGCCAGCCCCGCCCCCCTGGTGGGCTGAGCTGGCCACACACACACATTAAAAAAAAAAAAAAAATTAAAAAAAAATCTTTAAAAAAAAGACTCAAGTCAACAACTTCTGACAATGACAGTCCTGTGGTTAACCCACTACTATTATGGACTACTGGACTATATTGGACTACTTTTTTTTTTTCCCCCGGTACTGGGGATTGAACTCAGGACCCTGTGCTTGCCAGGCAAGTGCTTATTCTACTGAGCTATATCCCCAGGCTCCATATTGGATTACATTGCTGAATTTATGTGCCTACAATATTTGAACGGCAATGGAATACCCATCTGTGATAAAACTAACAAAAAAGGGGGATATAAAGGAAGGACCATTTTGTAGTGAAAAAAAAAAAATATATATATATATATCTGTATATACAAGATATGATAGATATACAGCTACTTTCTCTTAGTCCAATGAGAAGAAAGATTTGTACTAATAGTGTTTAGACAAGATATCATGTCTGCATCTTGTACTATGAATAACTGCTACAATGACAACAATATGCAATGTATTAATTATTATAACTGTCCTACTAACCTGTTTTGAAATTGTTTCATTTCTATTTCTTTCTCAATGAAATTAATAAAAAAGATAATATTCTCTTAAGAATGTATGTAGTAAATGTTCATTTTTATTTTAATTTAAAAAAAAAGTGAGAAGCTCTGAGACGTCACTTAGAACCAAAATACTTACAGGATCTCCTCAGTTAAACAGTGGACCAAAGATTACAACTGTGTAAGTGGGAAACGATTCCAATATATGACCACACACAAAACAATGACATTGGGCTCTTACTGATACCATGTACAAAATTAACTCAAATTGATCAAAGACCTAAGGCAAGACCTAAAACTATGAGGTCGTGGAGAAGACATCAGAAAACAAAATCTTCACAGCTTTATATTTTGCAATGATTTCTTGGATATGACAGCAACATTAGGGGTAACAAAAGCAAAATGAACACATGGTACTTTGTGAAAAAAACCCTTTAATCTGGTGTATTAAAAGGCAACCCAGAGGGGCCTGGCCTTAGCTCAGTTGTTTAAGTGGCTGCTTCCACAAAGCTGTCAGCCTCAGGTTGCTGTAGTTCGATCCCCACAACTCTCCAGCCAGCCAAACCAGCCATGAGGGCATTCGGAGCAAAAAAAAAAAAAAAAAAAAAAAAAACCTTATAAAAGGCAACCCAGGGCCAGTGAGAGAGTTCAGTGGACTAAAGCGCCTGCTTAGGCAAGCCTATGTAAGCGCAGGGACCGTGGTTCAATCCCTAGCACCGCATGCCGTGCCAGCCCCACCCCCGGGCAGGCTGAGCCAGCCACAGAGTTGGGGCACAGTGGCATACACCTGTAATCCCAGCACTGGGGAGGCTGAAAACAAGAGGATCACTATGAGTCCAAGCTGCATAGCAAGACCCTGTAACAACCAAATACATTAAAAGAAAAGAAAAAGGCAATCCATAGAATAGATAAAATATTTGCAGATTCTATATCTGATAAGGGATTACCTCTGGAATACACAGAGAATTCCTATAACCCAAGAAATAAAATGAACAGCCAGGATTACAGACATTTCTCCCCATGTTTGTTCATTCTTTTTACTATAGGTAAAAGAAGAGCTGAGCATGGGGGCAGACACCTGTAATCCCAGCTATTCAGGAGGCTGAGGAAGGAGGGTGGTGAGATGGGAGGTACTCTGGGCAACTTAGCAAGACCTTGTCTCAAAATAAGGTAAAAGGGGCTGGGAGCATAGCTCAGTGGTAGAGTGCTTGCCTACCAGGTTTGAGGCCCTGGGCTCAATCTCCATCACTGAAAAAAATACAAAGACCTTGGGTCCTAGGCCTGGTTGGGACCCTCACTACTATTACCTTTCTGGCTGTTGCTGCTGCTGCTATTTCCCTACCCCTTCATGGGCACACCCTGTGCTGTGTGTGTGTGTGTGTGTGTGTGTGTGTGTGTGTGCGCGCGCGTGTACTAAGGCCTGTGGGGAGGGGACCATGGGAAAGTCAGTTCTACAATCTGCCCTGCTCTTCCTTTGCTAACTTTAGATTCTAGTCTGCAGCTATTTAAGGCATGCGGCCTCGGCCCCTGCTGCTAATGGAAGCATGTTGGTTGAACAAAGCAGGCCCAAGTGCTGCTCATTGATTTCTGCGTTTTCTCTGCCCAGGAGAGGGGCTTGCGAGCAAGCTTTGTCCGTCAGCTCTCCTGGGAACTCCAAGGTACTTCCCAGAAGTGTGTGCCAGGGGTGGGGAGGTGTGCAGGTAGACAGTTGCCCGCTGCCAGCTCTGGGACCACGGCTGCTCCCAGGGGGTTGTTTCTGTGTTTTTGCCATTGCAAGAAGAGGTCAAGAGGGTGTCCACCAAGGCCCTCTGTCAGGGTAATTTATTTAGCGAAGTTACAATGTGGGGACAACGTCACTCAGACCACAATCAACTTACAGGATTACGAGTACTACACAGTCACTTAACTAATATTGATCCAACAGGGAAATGAGTCACGTAGCAAGAGTACACGGAAAGAATGCAGACATTTTTGCAAAGGAAGGGGCTTATGGGTCCTGATGTTCTGGCCACCCACCCAAGCGCCCGACGCTTCTCTGGGTCCATGGACCAGGTGGTGCCGACTGCAGCCCAATCGCAGGTTGCTGTTTTACCTAGCAGGCACAGTTATTATGTCCGAGGTCTGGCTCTCTTCAGAGCGATGTCTCTGTTTCTTGTGCTGGCTTCCTCAACTCCATCTCTGACTGTATATATATTAATTTCTACCTAACTTAGCTGCCCATGATAGGAGTAGAACCCAGCTGACTGCTTTCTAAGGGAGTGGGGATTCCCTGGTTACTCAATCAGAAATGTTAGGGCCCCTCACCCTCCCGAGAGGGTGGCACCTCTCAGAGCCACCTTGTCACCCATGCATCCCTGGATCTCCAGGCAGCTGGCCCCAGGAGGCTGGTTGCAGGGGAGGTATCTGCAGCAGTGGACGGTAGGCCCTCGCCCCCAACAGACTGACCCAAAAGCTTTATCCAGGCTTCCTCTCTCTCCTTCTGGGCTGATCACTGGCCGGAGCCTTACACCAAAGCACCACTCCAAACTCATACTCAGAGAAAACTCACTTGACTGAAGACAAGAGGGCATCACAGAGTCCCAGTGAGGAGGGCAGGCTCCAGACCCCAAGCTGGGGACAGGAGAGCCCTCTCTTGGTCCCTGGTTTTTTTGTTTGTTTTTCTGGTACCAGGTATTGAACTAAGGACTCAGGACCCTGCTCTTGCCAGGCAAGTGCTTATTGTTCTGAGCTATTTCCCCAGCCCTGTTGTTATACCGGCCCTTGCTGCCCATCACTGTAGTGACAAAGGGCAGGGTGGGCTTAGGGAACTCACCAAACCTGTCAGCTCAGGGGGAGGTTTGTGCTTGAGTGTTGGGGACACAGCTCAGTGGGCCTGCTTCCCCTCACACGAGGACAAGCTCCTTTGCAGTGAAGGTCTCTGGCCCTCATGGCCCCAAGAGACATATTCCAAGAGTATTACAGCTGCAGATGAGGCATGACAGGCATCTCTTCTCTCAGATATTTTAATTCATTGAATTTTTTTTTATTTTCGGGAAGGGTCTACAGGGTGTTCAGGGTCTCACTACTAAATCAGACTCGCAGTGATCCGTCTGTTTACAGCCTCCCCAGAGCTGGGATTACAGACCCGCGCCACCACGCCCAGTCTCAATTGTCTTCTCAGCCCATCCCGGGGGCGGGGCCAGCACAGCAGGCCTGGGATTGAACCCCGGGGCCGCTGTGCCTGATTACAGGCACTTTAATCTGCTTAGCTATTTGGCCAGCCCTTCATTGAATTATTAAAAAAAAAAATTTTTTTTTAAAGAAACAGTATCATTCCCCTGGGGTGATTTTCACTGTCCAGCTCCCCAACTTGAGGGGGTACCCAAGGTTCAGTGGGGACCTGGAGGAGAAGTCCCCGAAGCTATGCAGAGGGGAGGGGTTCAAGTCAACTCTGAGGAGAGAGGGAAGGAAGAGAAAGGCAGGGGAGGGAGCCATTGCTCCAGCAATGTAGACTCAGGGCCTCGTCCTTCCTGGAGAAGGGGACGCCCAAACTCGTTCCTCAGAACCAGGAACTCACCACAGAACCAGCCCCTGGAGGAGGATCATGCCTCCGTCAGAGACTCGTGGCCATGAGCCATCAAGCCCCAGACTAGTTTAGGGAAAAAATTATTTTTAAAAATCCTATTTCAGGCCCTCGGGCAGGGAGGGTGGCAGGCAGTCCTTCCGCCTCTCCTCTGCGCTTCCATCTCACCCTCTGCTTGAGTTTTCCCAGCAGAGGGTGTGGCCAGGCAAGGCCGGGCTCCATCCCAGCGACCCCTGGCCGTGCGCTGCCCCTGGTGGGGGCTGACTGCTATCTGAAGGAGGAGGAGCAGGCTGCTGGTGCTGCCGGGACTGATGACGCCTCCGACTTCGCCAGGCTGTGCAGAGCAGGGAGGATTTCTAGTCAGCTCCTTGTGGCCCAGCGTGTCACTGTGCCCTCAGGGTACGACGACATTTATTCCACAGCCCTCCTCTCTGTCAGAAACAGGGTCCAGGGTGGGAAGTCTGTGCACATCCATCTCTCTAATGTCTTTGGTCAGAAGTTCAGAGTTCAAATTCTTACAAAGAGGGTGTCCCCACTGCTCCTTGGGAACTCTCTGGGATTCCTTCATCCAGAGGACAACACCAACCAAAGCAAGCAAGATGGGCACCTTCACAAACGCCAGGAGTAGGTAGTGGGTCCTGTGAGAGGAACAGCCATCAGGCCCAGGCGCCTCCCTGTCCTCAGCCGCTGCAGGGCGGAGACCCAGCTGGAGCAGTTGGAGACCCTGCACCCACCGCCCCACTCTGAAGACCTCCTAGGAATCTTCCTCGTGGTCCAACCCTGGGGGCTCCTCAGATAGAATCTCGGCTGGTCTCGCATGGCTACTTCTTCCTTTCTAATTTTATTTCTGGGACTTCCCTTTGCCAAAGCTCAAGGGAGCTCTAAAACTGCAGTGAATGCTCAGCTAAAAAAAAAAAAAAATTCCTAAAGTAAAAGATACACTGGCATTGATGCCCTGCACTTCAAACACACTTGCGCACCGTTCTTGCCACTTTGGAAAACCATGCTGGAAGTCATTTTTACGTGGACATCTTCACAAATTGTGATTTAAAAAATATGATGAATGCAGCTGCCATGTGGCATTCCAGTGGAAAGGCAGGCTTGTAAAACCCACAACAGTGGGTCCTCATCCACGCTGGTCACCTGATCTGCCACCCTGTGACTTCTGTCTCTCTCCCCCAAAGTCAGAATGGCCATGAAAGAGAACTATTTTGCATCTATTCACCACACTAAGGCAGACATGAAAGCATAAGACACCCAAGAAAGAGGAATTTCAGAACTGCTTCAGAAAGTGGCAAGAACAGTGGGATCAGTGCGTCCTAAGCGAGCAGGAGTATTTTGAAAGGGATTAATAACACTGCATCTTTTGCTGGACTAAATTTTTAAAAATGTAAACAAACACACATTGTATTTTTCCGTCACATCTCACACATTTCAGCCCAGTTGAAACCTGGAGGCCACCTCAGGCAGGCCATGTTTTCCTGCTTTTGACGCCAAATGCCAGCTTCATGTTCACAAATCCACTCTCTCTGCTCTGGGTCCTGTGATGTCCTGCATCATGGAGATCGGTACCTTACCTCCTCGGCACCATGCTTTTCTGTTGGCCACCGAATGTGGTGATACTTAGAGAGGGGAGCTCTGCAGAGGGCTTTCCTGGTGAGGGCTACATGGGGAGGTGGAGGATGAGGACTCGGGTGGAGGATGGGCTTGGGGCTTTCACTTTGGCTGTAACAAGTGCTGGCTCTGGAGACAGACAGGCAGAGTCCTCAGGCTTGGATTTCCCTTGGAAGAAACCCAGGAGAAGGGCAGGAGAACGTGGCCACGTGAGATGGCACAGGAGGGAAGAGCTCAGGCCTTACCTTGTGTAGGACAAGGACACTTCAATGCTGCTCTCGTTGCTAGGTCCATCCAGGGGTTTGGAGGACATGGTGACGGTTCCCACTGGACACAAGCAGAGCTGGTCACAGGTTATTGGGATAGACCAGGGGTCCATTCATGGCTCTGATACAACCCCAGCCCAGGAGATGCCCTCTGCTCTGGACTGAAAACCTTCACCTCTTCAAATACAGTTCCTTGGACTTCTATTGAGTCACCTGACACCCAACACACAGTCATTTTCCCCCTGCCCCCAGCATTTTCAGGTGTGTAAAGAGAAATAAAATATTAAATAGAAAAGAATCACCATCATTTATTCATAGTCTATTTCCCTTTACTGTTGGGGAAAATATAATCTCTGGTCCTTTTGACTCATGTGGAACCCAGACTGGGCTCAAGAAAAGAATGTTCTAGAAATGGGGTGCTTGGTGGTTATGGTGCTCCGGGAGGAAAGCTAGTGAGCAGAGAGGGCCATGTCCCATTAAATTACGAATGACTCTGAGGAATGAAACATTTTGCAGGAGATGATTTACAGTGAGCAGTTTTTGTCATAGATTCCTGCGACCCTCATGGCCTCGAGCATTCCTGATGTGTTTTGCTTTTCATTACCGGGGATTGAACCCAGAACTTTGTTGCTAAAGTATAGCTCCAGCCTTTTTTAAATATTGGGACAAGTTCTGACTAAATTATTAACTTGCTTAGGCTTACCTTGCACTTGTGATCCTCCTGCCTCAGCCTCCCAGGGGGCTGGGATTGCAGGCATTTCCCACCACACCTGGTTTGTCACTACTCTTTACTTTAGTCCTGGGCCTGGAGAAGCTCTTTGCTCAAATGTTCCCAGCTGCCATCCCTCCAGGAGCCACCAGCTGAGCTCCAGATACTGTTATTCTAGTCCTAACAGCTGCTGTGGAGGTCCGTGATTGCTATATGGGCTGGCGGTCCCATGGGCCCCACTAGACCCCTAAATACTTTCTCCTTGAAGCTTCATATATTCTGGGCATGTTCTTTTGCTTCTCTGTCATTTGCCCACATGTCTTACCCAATCCCCTTCCTGTCCTGTAGACGTTTTGAACTTCCCCTACATGGTAGATCTGGGAAAGTCTTGCGTAGGGGGCCTTTTCTGGACTCGCTCCACCCAGGGGCACCCCGTGTGTCCCTCACTGGTCTCACCTCTAACAACACCCAGGTTTATTTGAAAGCCGACACCATCTATGTGCCCATCACCACAGGCCACATGGGGCTGAGGATGGCTGAGCACCCGTGAGCTAGGGAAGAGCAGAGCGGCTTATTCTCAGCGCCCAGTCCCAGCAGGAGGACCCTGGAGACCCTTGGAGGTCTGAGGCACTACGGTGGTGCCAGGCAGCCCAAGAGCTCCCAGCTGTGGACTTGCAAGGGAAGCCCCCTTGCCAGCTTGTTGAACACCTCCCTGGGTCTTCACCCTGTCCTCACTCTTTTGCAGCCAGAGAGTTACAGAGGGGACCCAGAAGGGAGGGACACTGCAGAATGCTCAGCAGTACTCTGGGTTGGGCAGGGCTGGGGTCAACACCAGATCCTCTGTCCCAGCTCCCCACTGCCCCGGGTTGAGACTGATGCTTAGGACCCTCCTCAAGGCCCACTCTGGGCTCCCACGGGAGAATGAGGCCACTGGGGCTGTGCAGCTCCAAAACAGTGGCGCTGGGCCACGGGTTGCTGATAGAGAGGTCCATGCCCTGTCCCTATCCTGAGATCCACCAGCCGTGCCCTGTGGCAGCTGGATACCTTGGGGGACCTCAGAGAAGAGGACAGCCGTGCTGCACTGCTGCTCTTCCTTGCCACTCTCCAGCCTCTCCCGTCTGTCTGTCTGCTTGCCTGCTTTTCAGCCTAGGCTGCTGGTGGCTTCCCTCCAGCCCTAAGCACCAGGGCCTCATAGTGAAGATGAGAAAGCTCTTACCAGGGTCAACGGTCACTTTAACTGGTGTCCCATCATCAGTTAAAGTTTTCTCAATCCCACACCAGTAAGTGTCCGCATCATCTTGCCTGAGCTCCTTCATGGTCACCTCGAATGACCAGTCTCTCTGATTGTCCCTGATGGATACCCGGCCGCTCTTCTCTTCTTGCTCTGACCCCCTTGTCTTAACAAGGATTGTGCACGCATGCCATTTCGCTCCTCGACACCACCACTTGTTGTAAATCTTCCATCTTGGTTTGTAGCGACAGCGCACAGTCACAGACCCACCCTCAGAGCCTCTCACAGACTCTGGGCCTTGGAGGGAGAAGCAGCCTGGAAAAAGGAACCACGTACATTTCCTGTCACCCTGAGCCAGCTCGGGGTCCAGAGGTTGGATGAGGGTCCCAGTGACCCCACCCACCCCGACACACCTGGCTTCCTGTACCCATTTCCTCAGAGATGCAGCCTCCTGAACCCCCAGCGAGATGCCCAGACTCCCCATACTTCCTCTCTCTAGGCCTGTGACACTTCTGATTTCCTGTCACCCTTTTCTTGTTCTCTTACTATTATGCTTATCTGGTCTCTTCCTTCTCTGTCGCCTCAGCCCCAGAAGCTTCAACCAATTCTCTCTGCTCTTTCTCTCTCTTTAAATCTTTTGGCCTGTGCTGTTTTAGTAAATATTTCAGCTTTCTGTGATTCATAATCCTCTGGAGACATTTTGCCAATTTCCTTTTTCTTTTTGAGACAAGATCTCGCTATATAGTTCAGGCGGGGCTTGAACTTGTTACATAGCCTACCCTGGCCTCAAATTTGCTGCAATCTTCTTGCCTCAGCCTCCCCTCCCAAGTACTGGGATTACAGGCGTGCACCGCCACACCTGGCACTTTTTGCCAATTTCTGTGGTATAAATGTTTCCATCGTGGCTGGTGGCAGGTTATTGGGGTGTTGTCGTTGGCCACACTGAGAAGTCCACAACCTACTCTTGTGCAACAGTAAGAGTCAGTGCAAGCTGGCTGCTTGTGCCACGGGGAAGCTCAGGGACCCCTTTCAGCCTTCAGCTTGCTTCACTTGCATCCCTAGAGAGGGATTCCCTCCATTTTCAGGGCTTCCATTGTTGCGTAGACCCTGGGTCCCCCAAATCCATTCTCATAACTCCAATTCTGCCCTCTGCTGCCGCCCACCACATATGTGTGTACATACCAGATATCTCTCCCTAGCTTGTAGGCACAGAACTGAAGATGGTGCCTCTCCCAGCCCACCGATTCTTCTATCTCCTCTCTGAGGCCTAGGCTAGGAGTCTCTGAGGTAGAACAGGTCTGAAGCACCAGGCCAGTGCCACATCCTCACAGCTTGGGCCTTCTCCCTGCACTATTCCTGTTTACTTGAGGTTAGCATGTGGTCAGCAGGATAACACTCCCTCAGATGTTGATATCCTTGGGCCAGGGAGATGGCTCAGCAGAATAAGTGCTTCCCTGGCAAGTGCAAGGGCCTGAGTTCAATCCCTGGTTCCACCAAAATTAAAAAAAAAAAAAAAAAAAAGATGTTGATATCCCAATATTCAGAATATACAATATGTCCTTCACAGGGTAAAAGAGAATAAGCAGATGTAATTAAAGATAAGGAAGTGAGTAGAAGCCGCTTGAATAGCTCAGCAGATTAAAGCACCTGCAAGCAGGCACAGGGGTCAGGGTTCAATCCCAGCCTGCAGTGACTGCCCCACCTCCGGGGCTCACTGAGATGGCAATTGAGACTGGGCACGGTGGTGTGCGCCTGTAATCCCAGCACTTGGGAAGCTGTAAACAGGTGGATCACTATGAGTCTGATCTAGTAGTGAGACCTGAAAACCCTGTAGACTCTTCCCTAAAATACAGAGAGAAAGAAAGTGAGTAGATGGTCCTTATTACCCAGTGGGTCCTAACAAGTGAAAGAGTTAGAAGAGTTAGGTTGATGCTGACCTATTGCGGACTTTGAACATGGAGGAGGGGCCATGGGCCAAGGAAAGCAAAAGGCTTCTGGAAAAGGCCAAGAAGAAGATTGGCCCTTCCAGCCTCCATAGCAGCAAACTCGACCTGGGACCAGGAAGATCATGCCAGACTCTTGATCTTCAGAACAGTAAGATCATGACCTGCTACTGTTCTAAGCTGCTGAACTGGCGATAATTTGTCTCAGCAGCCATGGGGAATTCATACGGTAACCAGTCAGCAGAACCAGCTTCGTGATCTTCAGACCACGGAGCCTCCCTGGGGAGCTCGGCATCCTCGTGGGTCCTGCGCTCTCTGCAGGCGATTCCAGTACCTCATCAGGGCGCCTTGAGTGACAGTCTCCTTTGGGCCTCTGCAGCGGCCGGCCGCGGGGACAGCAAGATGAGCAGAAGGAGCACAAGGGAGCTTTGCACACAGCAGATGCGTTTATCACGGATTAGTTTAGAAACCTCAGGCGAGTTACTTAACTTGTCCAACTTTTACTTCCTTATTTATAAAATGGTCACGCTATCTTTTCCCTTGTGTGGGTTGGTACAAGACTTAGAAGTATGTCCAAGAGTATTTGGTCAGCAACTGCCCGTCGACAGATCAGGACCTCGTCTGGTGCGCGGATTACGGCAACAGCCTCCAAATCTGCAGCGTCTGTCTTCCAGGCTCCACATCTCTGCTGGTTCTGTCCTTGAGTCTGTCTCCCACCCCCGGCACCGGCTTTGAGCACTGGGGTCTTCCAAGGTCTTCCAACAGCCATCCTGCCCTGCCCCACTAGAAGAGAAGGCTTCATTTTGGCCTTCATATCTTCTTGGCAAGCTGGATCCTACTTATTGTCCAGCAGAATTGGAGATTGTTTTTGAAAAGAAGCAGAAGCAGGTCACTGTGATCTCGGTCATTATCATTTCAATTCTAGGATTACCTAGTTTCCACAGCAATTGATAATACAGTGTAGGGTGTTAATGACAATACTGTTGTAACAGTGATCGCTGGGGGCTGGTGAGATGGCTCAGTGGTCTAAAGCACCTACTTAGAACAAGCTCAGCAAAGCACAGGGACCGCGGTTCAATCCCCCAGCACCACATGCCAGCCAGCCCTGCCCCCTGGTGGGCTGAGCTGGCCACACACACACACACACACACATAAATAAATATTAAAAAAAAAAAAAACAGTGATCGCTGGAAGAATTCAAAGGACATTAACAGGGCCGGGGAGATGGCTCAGTGGACGCAAGGGCCTGAGTTCAATCCCCGGTTCCGCAAAAATACAAAGGACATTAACAGGAAATTAATCTAATAAGTTATGGTCCACAGCATGGCATAAAAATAAAAGACAACTGGGTGTGGTGGCAGACAGCTGTCACCCCCGCTACTTGGAAGGCAAAAGCAAGAAGATTGAAAGTTCAAGGCCAATCTCGGTAACTTAGCAAGAACCTATTTTAAAATAAAGCATAAAAAGGTATAGCTCAGTGGCGGAGCTCCCTATGTTCAATCCCCAGCACTGAAGAAAAGAAAGACACACTTTCAGACAACGATAGGAAAGTTGTCTGAGATACGCTATTATTAGATGTTCTAAAAAGTTGTGTAACAGACTATGTGATCCATTTCTGTTTTTTTCTATAGTACATGCATTAAATAAAATCCAAGAACATGTGTTCTAAGCTTTTAACAGTGGTTAGCACTGAGATTACATTTTGCAGGGGAAATTTCTTTCTAAATTATACATTTCTATGGTGTATAAATGTTTGTGAGGGTGTTAATGGATAAACAAGCAAGAAAAAAAATCTTTAAAATAACAAATAGGTAAACTAGAAGGGTTTTTAAAAGCCAGCAACTTCCCTGAACTAAAATCAAATGCAGGGCTGGAGAGATGGCTCAGTGGTCTAAAGCACCTACTTAGAACAAGCTTAGCAAAAGCATCAGGGACCGCGGTTCAATCCCCCA